GCAAGTATCAGAGTTTTATATCTGATATAACAAGTAAAACTATAATAAAAAAGCCCTAAAAACTCAAAGTTTTAACTCCAGCCAAGCAGTCAGAGAAGAAAAACACACTGCAAGAATCATCCAGCCACAAGATCTTATCTGTATCAAAGTTCATCCGAAATCTAACCGAAATTTAACAATTCCAAGTACTGCAACATTTGGTTCTTATAACTCCCCTAAAGTGAATATTTATTTTAACATGATATATCCCAATTGGATATTTCAGAAGCTAAAACTCAGCTCTTGTGCATAACCACCCCATTTCCAGCTAGTAGAAACAATTAGCATTCTCCCTAAAAGATGGGAAGGTTTTTTTAACAAGCAACAAGAAGACAGGAATTTCTATAAAAGATAAAAGCAAGTACCTTTAGAAACTCTCCTATTCTGTTCCTCCCAAATGCCCCAGCAAATAAGAAATGGATGCATAAGTCTTATAATTCCCACTGCATTATCAAGAGAAGTCTGATTCCACCAACTTTGAAGCATTTCATATATACCATTGCCTGAACGTGTAATAGCCATAATCCGATGATAACGATTTCAAATTTGATGAGCAAGCTCACTACAACCAAAGATAGTGTCCAAAATTTAACTAATCGGACCAACGGAACAACAACACCCAAATCCTAAAAGATTATCATATTCGGAAGACCTCTTCAATGCTTTCCCCTCTTATGATAAAAAACATGCACTCGATGGCGTGGCAGGGAGCTCAGTGAAAGAAAGAGGGATGACAGACAGACTAAAACATTTAGGAGAACAAATAGCCAAGGAATTCTAAAAGATGGGAGAGAAAAAAAAAAAGAAGCAAAGACATTATCTGAAGCTTCCCCTCTTCATAAAATTAAATCTGAGATCAAAATTACTGTGGAAAAATCATAGTTTAGCATCGCTAAGAGATCACCCCAGAAAACTAAATCCAATATATCAAGTGCGCTTCTTTTTCTTTTTTGAAAGATGAAACGAAGCAGGCAGGAGAAAAATAAAAAGTAAACCTGTGAAGAAGATTCATGTGAAATTATAGATATTCTGACAGCCTCTTTCCGCAAAGCTTTTTCTATTACGGTTCATCATGATCTAAATATATGGGAGCAAGTACTTTATTTCCCATAGGATCTCTTTCAGTTGTTTTTCTTATCTGATATTTGGCAGACAGCTTTAACTTCCATCCTTCTCTATTACAGTTTTCTTTTCTTTTTCTTTTTTTCTGAGGGAGAGAGAGAGAGACTATCACAGTTTCTATTATTAGAAATAGGGGTTGGTCTTTTCTGTTATGGAAGTTACCTATCCTTGGGCAGTTTTTATCTTGGCCTAGGGAAAGTATGTATCAGGTACAGAACATAAATTCCATTGTGAATCAAAACTTCTTCTAGGAGAAGATTAACTAATAGTAATTGGCTTCAGGATGTAATGGAAGCCTAAGATAAAAGGGGAACTATTTGTGTAAGTATAGTTTATCAGATTGTCCAGAATATCAAAATGTGCCTTAAACAAATGATGATTAGATCCTCTATAATTAGCATCTATCTTCAGCAAAAGAAATTTTTTGAGACTTAGCAGTTTCCTATTATTAGATATCGGAGTTGGTTTTTTCTGTTATGGAAGTTACCGATTTCTTAGGATATTTTTATCTTGTCCTAAAGAACATGTGTATCAGGTACAGAATAAAAATTCCACAGTGAATCAAAAGCTCTTTTTTAGAAGAAAAGTCAACTAAAAGTAATTGACTTCAGGATATAAAAATTTTGGACAGAAGCCTAAGATAGAAGGGGCACTATTTGAATAAGTGTACTTTACCAGATTGTCCAGAATATGAAATGTGTCTCAAACAAATAATTCTTAAATCCCTTAGGATCAGCATCTATCTTCAGAAAAAGGAATTTTTGAGAGACCATTACATTTTTCTATTATTAGATAGTTGGTTTTTCTGTTATGGAAGTTACCTATTCCTTACGTATTTGTTCTTGTCAAGTATAGAA